CTTTCAATACTGGCTGCACAATAAAAGCTGTAGAACTTTAAAAAAATTCTTAGGCTCAATCTCAGAGCAATTATCTCAGGAAGGCCTTGGTTTTTTGTTGTCTTTAAAGCTTTATGGCTTTTAAAATATGCAGTTAAAAGTGAAACCAGCTATTCTAGGGTATTGTCTAGAAGTGGAATTGCTGGAATGCATGCTTAAAAGATTTTGCTAAAATGATCTCCCAAAGAAGTACCAATATACAGTCTTGAAAGGAAGTTATGGCAGGCAGTACAATCATTTCTCAATTTGTTGAGACAACTATTGGTATTCTAAGACATTTTAATTGATGCCAGTCTAAGGGATGGGAAGTAGTGTTTCAATATAGTACTTAATATTGCTCTAATGAGGCAACATTAATACTAGTGAGGTTAAGTACTTATCTTAACCTCTTAATATTTCCTGGCCGTCAGTTTTCCTCTTCTGGGAAGTATGAGGAGAGTAGAATTTTCAGTAGTCTCATAGTGCTATGGAGAAAATATAAGGGTAGGAAACCCAAAAGACATATCATGCTATTGGCTGAAATTTCTGGAGGGCTATACCCCAGGGACAGGGTTATAGTAGAGATAGACAAAGCCTTGCCAAAACTGCCCAACCTACTCTCAACTAGGCCCAGGTTCCTTATTGGATTAAGGTAGCCACTCTCCAAATCTTTCTACTAACGTTATCAAAAGGTGCTCAATCTGATTATTCATCAGGGAAACAAATTAAAATCCAACGGGACAGCACTACATATTTGCCTGAATGGCTAAAATGAAAACCCAGATGTAAGATCTGTGGAGCCACTAGAATTCTTTTACACTACTGGAGGAATTGACATAACTACTTTGGAAAACAGCTTGGCAATATCTACTAAAACTGAGTATGTACACACCTTATGACTCTTCATATAAACCCAAAAGAAATGCAGGTATTTCTTCCACAAAATGTATGGGGGAAAAAAAGTTGGACCTGTACTGAACATATACAGACTTTTTTGTATCTTTTTGTTCCTAAACAGTACAACTATTTACACTGTATTAGTTATTATAATCTAGAGATGATTTAAAGTATACAGGAGGATGTACATATGTTATATGCAAGTACTATACTATTTTATTATTTATTTACTTTTAGAGACAGGGTCTTTCTCAGTTGCTTAGGCTGGAGCACAGCGGCAGCATTATAGCTCACTGTAGCCTTGACTTCCTGGGCTGAAGCAATCCTCCCACCTCAGGACTATAGTATTGCACCACCACACCTCGCTGATTTTTAATTTTTTCGTAGAGAACAGGGTCTCGCTGTTTTACCCAGGCTGCTCTTGAACTACTGACCTCAAATGGTCCTACTGCCTCAGCCTCCTAAAGTACTGGTATTATAGGCATGAGCTATTGCACCCAGCCTCTTTTTACTTTTTTAATATGACTACTGGAACATTTTATTTATTTTTCATTATTTATTATTTCTTTTTTTTGGAGAGATGAGGATCTCCCAATGTTGCCCAGGCTGTCTCAAATGTCTGAGCTCAAGGGATCATCCCACCTCAGTCTCCCAAAGTGCTGGAATTATAGGTGTAAGCCACTGCATCCAGCTTATTAGAAAATTTTAAATCACATATGTGACTTGCATAGTTTTTCTATTGCACAGTATTATTCTATACTGTTTAAAAGATAAAGCATTTATTTTCTCCTCCAATTTTCTTTCAGTTTTCCTCATTCTACATAAACAGTTCTAAAATTATATGGTTTTAATTTAAATAATTACCATATAAGAATTTGGATCACCAAATATTCTTTCAAAGACTTCTTCTGCTTCTTTAAAGTTGCCATTTTCCATACAAACAGCTATAGCCTAAAAGATGAAAAATACCAACCTTAGACTGCGTTTAAAAATATCTAATAGTTACTTAATTATTAAGATAACTGAGGTAAGTCTGAAATCCTCTGTTGAAAACATTTTTATGTAGTTTAATAATTTTAATTTGATAAAAGATACTTTTTCAAAGACAAAATAAGTGTCGCTTGAAATGACATGAAAAATTTGCACTGGTCCCATGCACATTTACTCATAAATGCCCAGCATTCTATCTCTAATTTAGACCAAATCAAAAGCATGTATTAGTAAATAAATTAGAAGCCATACCATGGACATTTAGGACCTAAATATTAATTTTGAGTAAAAGGGAAATAAGAGGAGGTAGATGATGTTTGTGATGATTAGGATACATAAAATTTGCTAGTCAGAATCCCTGGAAAATATCTAATACAAACCTAAGAAGCTAGATGTTTTTGAATGATCATTTTTTTCACACATTGGCATTTTTGGTAACAGGGTAAGACAGGACCACTATTACCATCTGGGTAGCTATGTAAACTTGGTAAGCTACTTAGCCTCTTGATGCCCCAGTTACCTTATATGTAAAATGGTGGAAACAGTAGTACCTATTTCATCAGATTATTATGAGGACATAAGAATTTTATGTGAAAGAGTTTAGAACAGTGCCTGGCAAACAGTAAGGAATATATTAAATGTCTGCTATAAACTTTGTCACCCATTTGACTTTACAGTAGTGTATTAAGAAAGACTTGCTTTCTCTAGCAGTCTAAAAGATTGCAATAACATGATAAATCTCTTTGCTCTGGGTTGAATTCATAAAGGAAGCAGTCGTTTTTCTGCCCATTTTCTTTTCTTCAGGTCCTAATTCTACTTGACTATCACCACACTAATTCCTGGGAAGGTGGGGAATGACCTGGCTTTTCTTTTCTATTCAACCTGAAAATAAATTTTTAAAATCCTCAAGAGAAAAAGTTTATTTAACTAAGAAAGTACCCAGTATTTGCTCTGACTGCTAGCTACTGTATCTTTGAATGACTTTTTTAGACTACTCACTGTCTACTAAAATTCTCCCTACATGGTTAAAATTTTACATACTCTTGATTAGAAAAATCTAAAATTTACCATTAATTAAAAATATTATCTACTTTTTCCATAATCTTTAAATATCAATTGGAAGAGCACAAATCCCTGGTTTTAAAATTTTCCACAACATGGGGGCAACATATACTTAAGTATGGAACATTAAGTTCCAGCCCCCAGTGATCATGTTAAGGCTATAAACCAAAGGTCAAATTTCTGAAGAGAAACAATACATTAAATTTTACTATTGCTCAACCTCTACTAGGTTTCTCTTAATTTCTTTTAAGTGTTAAATGTTCTTATTTTCTAGAAATATAATAATCATAAGCATAAGTTATTTATTCATACCTGAATTTTAATTAAATTCTGTATTTCTTCGTGAAGTTTGTCATGTTCCTTTTCAATTGAACCCCAAATCATCAGGGCTGATTCCAAGGGTGTAATTCGTTCATCATTTTCAAACTGTGCATCTTTTAAAAACAGAACAAAAATAAGTAACTCAGAAAGCTAAGTAGAACTTTGTCAGTTTTTAATAACGCATTCCTTTAAATATTTATTGAGTATATACTATGTGCTAGGTGCTCCTCGTTTATATCAGTTTAGAGAAGTGATTTTATTTTCTAAGTTAATTTTCTCATTAAGATCAATTTCAAATGGAAAAAGGTTGATGAGATTACAAACATTTGAAGATTTCTTTACAAAAATATGAATTTTAAAAACTAAACTATTTTACATAACATGTCATAGCAACAGAATTCTTAAGTGGTTCCTAAGTCTAATGCACTATAACAAACCTCAAGACAGGCCAGTTTTCTCACCTATAAAATGGTGAAAATAAATACTATCTCACAGAATTTATGTGACTATATAATGAGATAATAGTTGTACTATTATTAAGCTTTCCTAAAAGAATTATGATCAAGTTATTCAGAACAAAGACTCACAACAACTGATAACTAATTAGCAAATTACACAGCAACAACCCATTCGGACATTCAAGAGCCCTCACTATAATGTCTTATATGTCTAGCATCTACAGTCTACAATTCATTTAATAAATATTTATTGATCACTCACTATATATAGGCACTTGCCTAAAAACTTGGAATGTCTCAGTGAATAAGACAAAATCCCCACTTTTATGATGCTCACATGCTAATGAGAAATAAATACAGTTTCAGAGTAGTAAGGGCTAGAAAAAATAAAAAAGGTACTGGAAATGAAGAATGGTAGGGGAGGGGGAAGCTCTTTCAGACAGGTTAAAGACCTCTCTGAAGAAGTGACAGTGGGGCTGAGAACAGCATAACGTGAAGCAGAAGGAACAGTCACCCAAAGATCTAGAAGAAAAACATTCCAGAGGGAATGGCAAGTGCAAAGATCCTGAGGAGGAGTTTGATGTTCAAAGGGCAGGAAGAGCCAGGTGGGGGCGTGTGCCTGTAGTCTCAGTTACTCGGGAGGCTGAGGTGGGAGGACTGCTTGAGCCAGAAGTCTGAGGTTCAGTGAGTGATGATGACACCACAGCACTCCAGTATGAGTGACACAGTGAGACCCTGTCTTGAAAAAACAAATACAAAGGGCAGGAGGAAGGTCAGTAGGCAGGTTGGATGCACGCTCTTAGAAAGATGATGGAAGAGGCAAGTAGTTAATCAGTTTTAGAACTCATTTTGAATGTAGAATACAACCTGTTGATTGCATGTAGAGTATGAGGAAAAAATGGAGGACTCTTGGGTTTTAATAATTGGATAAATGGTGCTAACATTTACTATCCTAGGAAGCCTGGGTGAGGACCAAGTTTATGAAGTTGTATATGGAAATCAAGAGTTCTACTATCCAGGTAAACTACAATTTATTTTCAAAATAATGCTAATGTTTTCATTTTGTCTAGACTACCTTCCCCCACCCCCACACCACATCTGAGGATGTGGATAGACTACCATTTTTATACTTTCTTTCTGACAAAATCTAGCAATTCTTACAGGCATAGTGCAAACTCCACCTCTTTATTGAATTCTGTCCTTACCCCAGCAGCTAAGAGACTAGGAAATGTCCTTTCTCTAAATCTCCTGTATGTGCTTGCTTTGGCAGCACATATATAAAAATTGGAAGAATGCAGAGATTAGCATGGCCCCTCAACAAGGATGACATAAAAATCCATGAAGCGTTCCATTAATTAAAAAGAAATTCTTGTATCATTATTCCTTTTTTAATGCCTTGCAGTACTTTATACTTACCTCCACAACCCTATTAGATTTTAAAGTGTCTTGAAGACAAAAAACTTCATACTCTATCATGCATAATATTTCAAATTTTGGGGGGCAGGAGCCAGTTAGTGTATTTTTCTAAACCCCTGTAATCCTAGCACAGTTGTAGTCCCATAGCAAGTATGCAACAAATAAGCATAATAAAGAGAATTTTTTATTTTTATTTATTTTTTGAGATGGTGTTTCGCTCTTTTGACCAGGCTAGAGTGAAGTGATGCGATCTCGGCTTACTGCAACCTCCACCCACTGGGTTCAAGCAATTCTCCTGTCTCAGCCTCCCAAGTAGCTGGTGCCCATCCCACGCCTGGATAATTTTTGTACTTTTAGTAGAGATGGGGTTTCACCATGTTGGCCAGGCTGGTCTCAAACTCCTGACCTCAGGTGATCCACCCGCCTCGGCCTCCAAAAGTGCTGGGATTACAGGCGTGAGCTACCGAGTCCAACCGAATAAAGAGAATTTTAAATAGCACATCCTTTTTTCCTTTAAAAACCAGAGTGAGCAGGCAGTTTAAATATTTGTATTTTCAAATATTTTTACTTTATTTCCTGTTGTCCTCTCCAAATTGTTTTTCCAACATTTTAAATATAAAAATATATTCATTCACATACTAAGTCTCTTTACATTCCAGGTTGTGTCAGGTACTTAGGATACAAACATGAAGAAGACAGTTCCTGACCTTGTGGAATTCACATCCTAGCTATGGAGGAAGACATGCAGACAAACCAATATAACTGGTACTTTAATGGTATTGTGCATTATGCCAATGGTTCTCCATGTTTGCTATACCTCAGAAACATCTGAAGAGCTTTTGAAAAATACTGATGCATGGCCAGGCACGGTGGCCCATGCCTGTAATCCCAGCACTTTGGGAGGTGGATCTCGTGATCTACCGATCAAGAAATCGAGACCATCCTGGCAACATGGTGAAACTCTGTCTCTACTAATAATAGAAAAATTAGCCAGGCATGGTGGTGCACGCCTGTAGTCCCAGCTACTCGGGAGGCTGAGGCAGGAGAATCGCTTGAACCCAGGGGGTGGAGGTTGCAGTAAGCCAAGATGGTGCCACTGTACTCCAGCCTGGTGATGGAGCAAGACTCCGTCTCAAAAAAAAAAGAAAAAAAAAGAAAAAAAAAGAAAAAAAAATATTGACGCCTACACCCATCTCCCAGAGATTAAATTCTCAAGCAGAATCTAGTGTATTTGAGGAACAGGGTATTCACTCTAAGTAGGAATACTAGAAGTGAATCCTTCATGAAACAGAAGTCATCCAAATTGGGGCATTTAGGATAAACAGATAAACTAAGTGTAGAGTACCAAGGATGGGAAGGAGAACACTTCAGAAAAATGGGGCAGCATAAGGTAAGAAAGGTGTACAAAAGATATTCATGCTAATAACTAACACTGAGTGTCAGGCACTGTGGCACTCGTTTTATACAGTGAGATCTGAGAGCTAGAGAGGTCACACACCTAGCAAGTAGTAGAAGCAGACACCAAGACACTTAAAAATCACTTACTGTGTCTCAAAAGTAGTAAAATGAAGATGCAAAGGTAGACTGCCTAATTTTTCTTCCTCATTTTTCATCTGTTTGCTTTCTTTCAGAAACTAATTTCAACATACATTTTCAAATAAGTATTTCTTGACTGACATTACTTAACCCTTCTCACTTATCTGCCTTCCTTCTTATAAATGTGACATATAGAAAAATGTATGTTAGCTCTTAGCTTCAAAAAATTTACAGTATAGACATTTACTTCCAGGTGGGATGTAGTATATGCAGCAAACAAAACACTCACACTACAACTAGAAAACAGTTAAACTCCAAAATCATGTTGCTAAAGACATGGGATAGCCATCGAAAGCAATGAAAATCAGATGAACTAAAATTCCAGAGAGAATCCCTTCTGAGGTGAGATGCTGATTCGCTGATTTTGCATAAGGTTGAGGATCCAGTGTACTCCAGCCAGAGCGACTTTACTGGGCAAAGACAAATAAGAACAGCTTTTGGTGGTTTCCTTGGGGCTGGCACAGTCGACTGGAAACTAGAGGAACTGCAAACATGATTGGTTTTTCTCCACAGGACATGTGCTGAGTTCCAGGGCAATGCAATAGGCTGTGGTAGAAAGGTACATTAAGTCTCCCAGAGTTTTGGGAGGCCTAGGCGGGAGGGTCACTTGAGGCCAGGAGTTCAAGACCAGCCTGGACAACATGAGACCTCGTCTCTACAAAATATTTAAAAATTAGCTGGGCCTGATAGTGCACCTGTAGTCCTAGCTACTCAGGAGACTGAGGTGGGAGGATCACGCGAGCTCAAGAGTTTGAGTCTGCAATAAGCTATGACGGCACCACTGCATTCCAGCCTGGGCCAGAGAGACACCCTGTCTAAAAAAAAAAAAAAAGCTTAAAGTTCCATGAGAGGAGGATGACAAGCATTCCCCTTTAAGACATCTGCTGTATTTTGCAGCTACGTGGGGGTCTAAGGCCAAACATGTCCAATCTTGTCAAAGTTATGTGGGGTAGGAGACTAAACCCAATATGGTAGCTACTAGCCATACATAATTACTGAACAGCTAAAGTATGACTAGTTTGAATTGAGATGTACCTTAAGTATAAAATACACATGAGATTTCAAAGACTTACTCCAAAAACGGTAAAATATTTCATTTTTTTTTTAAGAGATGGGGGTCTTGATGTGCTGCCCAGGTTAGGGTACAGCGGTGTGATCATAGCTCACTGCAGCCTCAAACTCCTAGGCTCAAGTGATCCGCCCACCTCAGCCTTCCAGACCTGGGATTACAGGTGTGAGCCACATGCCTGGCCTTACTAACATTTTTTACACTGATTACTTGTTGACATAGTGTTTGAGAAATATTGAGTTAAATAAGATTATCAAAATTAATTCCACCTATTTTATTTATTTATTTTTTTAGCTACACCTGCTGGAATGGGGATTTCTAAATTTCATGATAGAGTTTCATTCTGTCACTCAGGCTGAAGTGAAGTGGCACAATCACAGCTCACCACAGCCTCAACCTCCTGGGCTCAAACGATCCTCCTACCTGGTCTCCTGAGCACCACATTAATTTTTTAAATTTTTTGTAGAGACAGGGTCTCGCTATGTTGCCTAGGCTGGTGTCAAATTCTTAGGCTCAAGCGATCCGCCTGCCTAGGTCTCCCAAAGCACTGGGATTACAGGTGTGAGTCACTATGCCTGGCCTACTTTTCTTAACATAGCTATTAGAAATTTTTAAATTAGACATGTGGCTCACATATCTCTATTAGCAGTGCCACTATAGAGCAAAAAAAAAAAAAAAAAAAAGGGCTTATGTATAGCTGAAAATTCAACACATAAAATTTTAAATGCTGCTTCAGTTGAGTGTATTATGGTGAAATACATTGATTCTTGATAGCTAACCCTTGCCCATTATATCTAGGATATATCCAAAAGAGTATCCTGGTAAATTCCAAGATTAAACCATGAGATCACACATAAAATCTGGATTCCCTCTGCCTTTTTTGGAGAAAAGGTTATCCAGGAAGCAACTAAGATGTACTGAACAACTGCTATGTGTAAAGCACTGCCAGGCATTTTAGAATACTTTTCCACCTTAATTTGGAAAACAACCCTGTTAACAACAGTGTCAACTTATAGTATGCATGGTCTGGAATTTTGCTCCAACCTGCTACTTCTCCAGCAACTGGCCCAGGCCTACCTATAGCTCTGTTTCTTTCACAACAATTCTGCCTCTATCTAGTTCTGTCCATTTATGGTACTGGCACCAACTCCAGACCTACCCTCACGCCCCAAACAAAGCTGACTGCATCAGCCAGAGCTACTTTAGTGGGAGCCTTGACAGTGGTGCTAATACACTGGGATTTTATGTAAGACAACACTTCAATAAGCAAGCAGTTTTATGTAAGTACTGCCCACTACTCAGGATTGTTGGAAAAGTATTTTGTAAATTATAAAAACCAATCTAAATATAAAATTATTTGCATCAAATAGCCTTTTAAAATGACCATGTTGTAAATACCAGCCATTGCTGATAAACTGAATCAGGCTTGCCCATTACAATCTAAAATGAACTACAGAGACAAGGGAGAGAGATTACAGCTATAAACTGTACTTCTTACATAAATAAGTGCTGGCATCAAGTTCAAATAAAAGGTTTCAAATATAATAGTTGCCAGTAAAAAACAGAGTGTATATGATTGGAGTCACCACAAAGTTACGAAATAGAGTCAATGAAACACACTTCCCCAACAGTAGCATCAGAATCACCTGGGAATTTATTAGAAATGTACATTTCAGAGCCCCATACCCATCCTACTGAATCTGAAACTCATGGGATGTAGGGAGACTCAGCACTATGTTTTTTTTTTTTAGTAAGTCCTTTAAGTAATTCTGGAGCAGGCTGAAGTTTGAGAACCAATGTTCTAAGATGACAGGGACTACATTTCTTTTACTTGCTTTAGATATGACTGTATGTGTGTACACACACACACACACACACACACTCACACCCCTATGCACCAAACACTTGCAGGCAAACTCCCCCCTCAAAAAAATCTGTTTCTTCTCATTGTCTTACATTTAGACACAGATTGAAATATTTCCAATATAAAATAAAAACACATATTTACCAAGGGTTTTTCCTGCTGCAATTCTTGTCAAAAACTGACATATGTATATCGTTCTCAACTGGTAAGCTGTTAGACTGGATAGTCCATGAATAATAGCTAAAAAAGAAAAAAAGTAAATTTTATTAAAATCAAACTTGATCCAGTAGTGCCACTGTGTGGTTTGTTCAGTAATAGGCTACAAACATGTTGTAAAAATTATCATAGAGTTGTACATTTAAGATCTAATTAAAAATCAGAACAAAAAAAGAATAGCAATGAAGACATTTCTT